AGATGCTTCAAATTGGTCACAATAACGACAAGTCAGGCAGCCTCAGTTACTTTGATTGCATTTTGGTGGAAAATTCACAGCTTGCTATCAACCAAAAGTGGCAGGTCGGTCTTCTTATTTTCATGGTCTGCAGATGCATCTTCTTCTTTGGCCTCTCTGGCCTACTTTTTTCATTTTCTCTTGGAATTTTAATATGCTTGAGTGACAATAAAAAACATTTCTTTTTTTGTTAGCATACAGTTTCAAGATGAGCTTTTCCTGATACAAGTACTATTACCATTCACTGAAAAGAGTTGGAAGTTTATATTTGTATTATTTGATTTATGTAACATGTATGTTTTGTTGTAGATGCCTTTGTAGGTGACCTATCTGGTTGACAATAGGGTTAATTTATTCCATGCCTCTACTACTGCATTTACATGTACATCATTATAGATATAGTGGATAAAGTAGGAAGAATGCATGTTTTTTTGTCAAGTCTAATAATGTTCAGAAAACCTTCTATGTGAGTTGAAATGGGTACTTCTCCTAGTTTTGCCGTAAACTTGCTATATTCTTTTGCATTGTGGATAAATTGTTGGTGTCTATGAGCTAGGTAGAATTGCTCTGGAAGCTTTCCCCAAGAATTTCTGATTTTCATTTTGCAAGTGCTAAAGAGTCCGGATTTTGGTCTGTAATTGTCTGGTGCAGATGCAAGTCCTTATAATTTATTTTAGCTGTAGAACTTGGAGCTTGCGTGCAAATTATTGCCAACACCTTTTCTTTTAGCTTCCCAATTTTGACGTACTCCTTAACTAATGGGTACATCAGCAGACAGATTTCTGTAGTATGTATGAAAAAGCCAAGCAGATGCTAATATGATTGGAAGTTCGTAAGAAACATAATTCAATTCACATTGACATCTTATTTGGCACACTAACAATCTCACTTGGACAACCTTTTCAGCAATCAGGAGAGATGGAACCGCAAAGCAGTAGCAGCAGTTACAGTGAAACTGGAAAAGAACTTGAGTGTCAACGCACTAGCCCAGTCTCAATTCTCGAACCTTCTTTTGCAAGTGGAAGTTGCTCATATCTCAATGGTAAAGTTGTAACCCGTTTCTCCCCGACTTCTATTTACTATGTTGGCACACAAAAGGAATTTGGATTTGGAAAAATCTTGTTACTCTGTGCATGATAATTTGGAGATAAACCAATATCAGTTAAATGCCAACCAATTAGGAACCTGGCGGTGGTAATTTGGGACTGATATTTATACTACGAGAGGTATACAAGTGCATTATAGAAAGAAGCACATCTACTTCACCCAGAATCATTCAGATCAGCTTCTGGACTGTGCACCATTTGACATCTTCATAATGTGATGTGGGATGTGTAACACAAGCTTTACAGAACCTCTTTTAGCCCAAATACCTTTCTAGATTGCTATGATTTTTTGTTCTCTCTCCGTTTTGGACAAACTCACATGTTTTAATGAAAATAATGAGCAAAATATTTACTCTCACATTTTCAGGAAGTAGCCATTGCTCGACAAATGAATCTGTAGAAATGGAGGGTGAAACAGAGTTTTCAGACTCAGCATCCTCAATATCTACAGTTGATGTGGTAAGAAAATATACTACTAGAACATGCAGCATAACAGAATTGAAGGAATCAAGCGACTGGGAACTGAATTTCATGAGGGATATACTTGGCCGTGCAGAGCTAAACTTGAAAGATTTTGCGTTGGGTCAAATCTCCGAGGTCATAAACCCCAATCTTTTCGATCAGTTGGAGAATCAGGACAAGGGGATGGAAAGTAACGAAGAAGAGTATTCAAAGCTGGCACGAAAGCTTTTGTTTGATTTTGTTAGTGAATCCCTGGACTTTAAATGTGGACAAATTTTGGTAGGGAGCTGCAAAGCATGGGCTAAATTGTCGACATTGTTTCAAAGGAAGGGGTGGTTGGCAGAAGAACTGTATAAGGAAATTTTGGGTTGGCAAAGCATGGGAGACTTAATGGTGGATGAGCTTGTAGACCAGGACATGAGCACTCAGTATGGGAAATGGCTTGACTTTAGCATAGAAGCATTTGAAGAGGGTGTAGAGATTGAGAATGGGATTCTAACTTCTTTGGTTGATGAATTGGTTTCTGATTTATTGCCCTTGTAGAGCCCTTTAAGAAGGCTTCTCTCTCATTTAACTTCCACTGTATTTAAGGTGACCTGTTGACCTTTCATTTCTTAGATTTTGGCAGAGGAAAGAAGTATATGATCTTTACTCATATCGTTCCTTGTTTTCCATGTTCTGTCCACCTACTGCACTTTTCAATTCCTAAGATATTAGTTCCTACAGATTCTTGTGTCCAAAATAAACTACCGATATGACCATTTACCTATCAGTATTCTGTCCAAATATTGGATGGTTGGGGCGCTACAATTTTACTGTAGTTTGGTAGACAACATTAATGTAGCTTTAAGATTGATGTTAGGAAATTGTTTCTTCTTTTTACCTAACCCTCATTTATTGTAGGGTTTTATTTCATAATTCTCAGCCTCTCTTCTATATGATTGAAAATTTGAGGTCATTTTTCATCATCTTCAACCTATTGGCCATGCATGTAATGTTATACCAAGCTCTGAACTGAAACTTTGTTGTGATTTATATGGAGTGATTGAAGCATTACGTCAATCATGACCAATGTGATAATGTAGTTTGGATAGCTCATTTGTACCTGACGAAGTGGTTCTTCTTGTGCCAGTCGAGAGGCCCTAGTTGCTTCTTGCATTTATAACCCCTAATCAATGGCATTGCTTTGTTGGCAGCCATAGCATTTAACCTTTTTCTTCTTGTATGCATGATTTGGAGCAGGTTTTGATGGTCATTTTATTTTCTGAATTTGAATTTCAAAACCATTTTTTGGGAGGCTTTTATTATTTTGAATAGAATAACCTTTCTGTGTTTACCAGCCTTCGAACCCATGACCCGGAAGTTGTGCAATGCGATTTGCACACAAACCCTAGTGGCTAATAACATATTTTGACTGTAGGCTGTCATTTTTTTTGAAAAAGTTAACCTTTCCAAGATTTTAGGTTGATGGTTTAATTTGCTGTTACATAACAAAATAGTTTTAATTAAATCAATTTTGATTTGTTTATCTTTAAATCTATTTGTAAGTTAATAACCTTTTAATTTATTTATTTTGATTTTTGTATTAAATACATACTACAAGAACTAAGAGTAAATGATTCAATCTATTTTTAAATAATTTATTAAGTTTTTAATTTGTTATTATGTTTCTATCAAATTTTTCTATTCAAATTAAAATAAATATATTTTTTCATTCTAAAACTCCCATTGAACTATACAAGAATATAATTTTGATTTTTAAAAATTTTAATGATTGAACAATCTTTTTTTTTTTTTTTTAAACATTTTGAGAGACTTCGAAAAATTTTTCAAGAATGTTTTTATATAACTTAATAGTAAATTTGAAATGAAAAGGATAATTTTATTAATTTGAGTAAAAAAATAATCGTAGAACTCATTAAAAAATTAAATACTATAAAAAACATAATATATATAATTAAAAATATGAAAAGATATCGAAAATTTATGTTATTTTACTTATTTTTAAAGAATTGATTAATGGCATAGCCACAGTCCACATCATGAGTACATATGATATTCTTGGAACTATCCATAGACCACATATTTATTTAGGCCTATCCACCTACAGAAAAGGCCAATCATTAATTAATGAACTGCTGAAAAAAAATGGAACAAATTCTAGAATGCAAATTAATTATTTAGTTGAAAAAAAAAATGCTATAATATCTCATCGGAAGGTTGACCATGCCCACGGAAGTAGCTGGGCAAACTTCATTTATTCCTGATGCCTACAGGCTAATAGCCTATGCCCACCATAGGCTTCCCCGTTTACTTTCAGCTCCGTCAGTCATTAGAACCTAAGAGATTATCCTTGGTAGTTAGTGAAATAACGAAGAGGATTATGTTATGAGATGAACTGAGTTAATTATCACCACGTAATAAAGGATTATTTTAATTTTTTTTTAAACTCAAATACCTCAAATAGAGGATTTGAACATATTATCTATTGTAAATCCAATTTAATAGCATATAACTTCGGCATAGTGATTTTGTAGTATTTTAATTATATGATTGTAGAGTAAATTATAGATTAGTCCCTTTAGTTTTTCAAAACAAATTAAATAATCCTTTTAGTTTTAAAATCAATTAATTGATATTTATGTTTTTAAATTTATTTATAACTGAATTATTTTCGTTATTTTTTAATTTATTTTGATTTTTTTTTATGAAATAGAAAAGGTAAAAGGAAAGTAAAAGATACAAAAAATTTGTATTTTTGAATAAAAATTATTGAATTTGTTAATAAACAAACGAAGAAAAAATATTAAATAATAATAACATTCATGCAATATAAAATTTACGTGATTCAATAATATATTTATTATGTAGATTGATTAAGAGTTGTTATTAAATTTCCCAATCAACTGCAAATACAAACGAGACCTTCTTTCTGATTCTCTATGACGCACTAAATCCTCGGCTCAAGACCGAAATGGATATAGATTTTTTGTTATTTTTTTAATCATCAAATAGTTTTTTTTAATTTTTAATTTTTAGTCTCCAAGAACTAGTGTCTGCCATAGGCTATGAATCCATGAACTTGTTTAGCCACATGTCGAACCTGGATTGGGTAAAAGCTTTTTTTTTTTAAGGACCCCGATATTCTTCTTTCTTGGATAGAGGAACTACTGAAAAGAGGCACTGTATTCTGCAACGTCAACAGAATAATATGCTATCTTTATTCTGATTAATGAATTGTTTAAAACAGGATCAGTGGGTTACTTTACCGGAGATAATGATTAATAATTAATTAGAATGGAGTTTATAAACACAGAAGCTTAGCCCCGTGGTAGCCGTCCAAAAGTTAGGATCCTATGAATTTTGCTGCAACTCCATGTTTCAAAAGCGTACCTATGCCTTAGAGAAAGATGGGTTTTTCATGGGATCAAAATCAATGCGCCCATTTTTATGAAGTTCTACATGGTTTTTGCTCTTGTCTTCTGCTAGTGCTACGTTCAAGATCTTAAAGGAAGAGATTTGCACCTTCATTTCTTCATTTGATGGCAACAAATGGCAATTGAAAAACATGTGTACTGTATATACCATGGCAGTTAACTATGGTATATAATTAAACTGTTCAGCTAAATTTTCATATCTTTTTGAGTTTAACTAAACAAAATCACAGAAAACAAAAAAGAGTGAATTTTAAGGCTTTTTTATGAAATATTTTTTTCCCCTTATGTTAATAATTTAATTGAGTTAATTTTATTTTTGAATATCCCTTAAGTTTTTGTTTTATTATTTTGTTAAGATTTTCACAGCAAACCACAAAAATTATTCAAATAATTTACATATGATTAATTTGTATTTTTAAAATAAGCTTGTAAGACACTCAAATAGAAATTTTTTTATGTGTTTATTATGTGACTAATTCCGATAGTCTAGTTTATTCAAAAATGGATTCGATGCTTAATGTATATTTAAAAATAAAATTAATTTAATTAAAAAATATATAAAATAAATTAATAATTATTTTATTATATAAAAACAGATTGAACTCTTAATTTTTTTTTTTACATTGACAATGAATTGAGAAATCAAATTAACCGTGTTTCTATTGTTTTACAATAATGTTATTATTGTTAAAATCTCTATTAAATGGTTAGAATGCATATTCAATGTTAAATAATGAATTAGATGCTTAATGTATATTTAAAAATAAAATTAATTTAATTAAAAATATAAAAAATAAATTAATAATTATCTTATTATATAAAAACAGATTAAACTCTTAATTTTTATTTTTTTATGTTGACAATGAATTGAGAAATCAAATTAAACGTGTTTCTATTGCTTTACAATAATTTTATTATTGTTAAAATCTCTATTAAATGGTTAGAATGCATATTCCATGTTAATTTTATTCATTATTTAACTCATGAGAATTAGCTCAAATGGCAATAATTTAACTTAAGATATAAGAAAACCTTGATTCAAGTTTCACTCTTCATTGGTGTTGTGGGATATCTTTCATCTTTCATTAGATAATTACAAATGACTAGTAGTAAGTTGTCACCTTTCCATCCATCACTCTTAATCATTATCTTTTATTTTATTATTTTTTTTAAAGTCATATCAACTTAAAAATGATGTATACCATAAATTAACCAATACGTAAAATGTCACCTTTCCATCCATCACTCAGAAATTGCAAGTTCCAATTGAGTTGCCACGTGCTAGGTTCCCTCTGTATCGTTCATGTTCTGTGCATGCATCTCGAGGAAATCAAATGGCTGAGGCTCAAAGAAGCACCCTTCTGATGTGAATGTGTATATACATTTATATATATGTATGTATATATATATATATATATATACTGCCATGAAGAATGGAACAAGGACATGTCACATGTGACAGACCAAATGGCCTTCGTGGAGAAGAAATGGAGTGGTGACATCACAGAGAAAGCAGCAAACATATGGCTATGGCTATGGCTATGGCAGTAGCCCAAACGTGCTGCCTTGTTAGTAAAATTGTTGTCGATCTTCACTTTCCCATCTTCCCACGTCGATCCCTACTCTTCTCTCAATGTTCAACCTTTTTAATTCTTTTCATGTCATTTTCTGCTTCTTGTTTCCTCTTTTCATTGCCTTGATTTAATGTTTTCAGCAACTTAATGCTCTCCGCCGAATGGTTTTAAATTATCATTAATTTTTCGTACTAATGTTGGATTAAAAACTCCATGCTAAAACGATAATAATTGAAGGGATTATTGTACATCTTGTCGGGGGCTCAAAAGTTTTAGGTTTTTATTTTTGGGTTATTCTTGAAGAGTTATTGTAAATTCAGGTTAATTTTTGCATGCATAAACTAATCTCAGTTGGTCTTGTAATAATGGTCATCTATACTTGCATTGATACATATATTTATGACAAATTTTTATTTCATATATAATCTGTTATTTAATTCGAAATTAATATGTTACGTATATCATAAAGGCTGCAAATATTGTTACAAAATTATATATTTATGATATATTTAATATATAATCTTTTATTGAAGATGTTATGCAAATTGATAAAGTTGGAAGTATTATTACAAAGTTTGATCGGGAGACCTAATGATTTAAAATCAAAATCTGAATGGGTTTGTAATTTTATCATTTAAGATATCGATTTTCTTAAATTTAATCAAACAATGACATTAGTTGGGTTTAAAGAATTTGATCACATTTTAATTTTTTTTAAGCTTTATTTTGTGATCTATTAATTTAACCGTCATAAGACAACCATATCATCAAAATTGTGATTGATTATAGTCATTGTTGTTATTATGTTATTTAAATTTCAACAATTTGTTGGAAAAATTTTATTGATATTTTTTTTCTGAGATTTTTTGAATATTCCAAATCTAAAAATTTAGATTAATATCTTATTGTTTAATCGGATACATAAAACAAACATAGCTATCCAAATGAGTTTTTTACATACATAAGAATTTGAACCGAAACGACTTGATTAAACGATTATAGTTTTTTCTATTTAAATAATTCGAACTCTTTTCGTAAAAATCAATTCTCTTAAATAATTTGATTGATATTTTTTTATAATGAAGTTAATAAATAAAATTTAAGGCATTTATGATGTAAAATTTAACACAATCAAACCTTCCTTCCAAAGCTTAAAATTTTTCCTAAATTGGACGATTTTTTTTTTAATTATTGAAGATTTGTAAAGATTCTAAGTAATCAAAAGAGGTTTAATCAATGAACATTTGTCACATCACATCATAGATAGGCTTCTAATGACATTGGTTGAATTCACTTTATTCACCAACGTTAAACCTTTGCCAAAAATGGATTCTAAGATGGCTTAGCTTAATGATCTTTCATGCAAAAATTCATTTATTAATCTGAATTTACAAATAGAGAAATAAAGCTTACACACAAAATTGAAAAAACTTACCATGTAAGTTCTCAAATCTGTCCACCATTATTTTTGTGGAGGGATGATTAGGAAATAAGAATCCCAAATCCTTCCCCCTTGAAATCCACAAATTCAAATATTCAATGGATGTATATCTTCCCAAATGGATTATTTGGAAATTTCAAATTCTATAAATCTGAAAATATATCATTTAATGCCATTTAAGGTATCCCTTAATTCTCATAATTTAACAGTCATTAATTAAGGATAATGAAAAGACAATGGCAGTAGATGTTATAACTTATCTTTTTCAAGGGCAATCTACCAACCCAGCCAAATCTCGAAATCTTATTTACTTACGCAACACAGACGCATTTCAGTTCCATCACCTCGCTCTCTCTCTCTCTCTCTCTCTCTCTCACAGACTGCAGAGAAAAATGGAGCGGCAAGAAACTCACAGCAACAACAAAAATGGCGAAACCTCCGCACCAGACACGAAAACAGATGTTGAAAAGCCTTATAATAGCAAAACTTTGGAAGCCCATGAATCCCAATACTTCACTGAAGATTTTGACAGTACCTGTTCTACTCCTTATGTTAGTGCACCTTCTAGTCCGGGTCGACCCGGATCCGGACCCGTTAATGGTGGGTTCTTTTATAGTTGTCCGGCAAGTCCAATGCATTTTGCGATAACATCATCGGCAGCATCTTTTGCTTCTTCGCCGGATAATACTGTGCCTATTGGTTATGAGTTTGAATTCTCTGCAAGGTTTGGTTCGACCGGGTCGGGTCAACCCGGATCCATGAGTTCGGCTGATGAGCTTTTCCTGAATGGTCAGATCCGACCCATGAGGTTATCTTCTCATTTGGAGAGACCCCAAGTGTTAGCTCCTTTGTTGGATCTTGAAAACGAAGAGGAAGATGGAGATATTAGTAACGAAGATGAATTCAAGAAAGGTTCGAGAAAGGTTGATGATAATGGTGAAAGTATGTCAAGGGGGAGGGATCTGAGGTTGAAGAACAAATCATTACGTAGGAGAACGAGATCTATGTCTCCATTAAGAAGCACATCTTTTGAATTTGAAGATTATGAAGAAGAAAACAAGAGTGCAATTGATGGGTCTAGTACTTCTTTGGAAGTCAATGGTGAAAGTCTCAAACTTGACGAGGCTACAACTAGTGGTGACGCGAGTACTCCTTCAGTTTCTGCTTCATCTTCAAGGTCATCATCGGCTGGAAGGAACTCAAAAAGATGGGTTTTTTTGAAAGATTTTCTCTATAGAAGCAAGAGTGAAGGGAGGAGCACTAACAAGTTCTGGTCCAACATTTCCTTTTCACCAGCCAAGGAGAAGAGTAAGCAACAAAGTGGTAGCGTCCAATTTGGTGTGTCTAAAGAGAAGGCAAGCAACAAGAACAATGGGTCTAATGCTGGTGGTGAGAGTCAGAAAGTGAAGGGAAATAGTGGGCAAGGTTCGTCTTCTTCTTCAGGGAAGAAACCAGTGAATGGAGTAGGCAAGAGGAGAGTGCCAACATCACCACATGAGTTACATTATAAGGCAAGTAGAGCACAAGCTGAAGAGATGAGAAAGAAGACATTTTTGCCTTATAGACAAGGTTTGCTTGGGTGTTTGGGTTTCAGTTCAAAAGGATATGGAGCCATGAATGGATTTGCAAGAGCTTTGAATCCAGTTTCATCCAGGTAATTAAGTAATTAGTAAAATATGTTAGATCAATGTGTTAAAAAGAACTTGTATAGAGATTTTATGATTAATTTTTTAATCTACTTTTTTTTCCTTTGTTTAAATCTTGTATTTTACCTTCTATCTATGTATTTATTGACGGACGCTCTACTTCTTTAGTCCAGAAGAGAAGTTTGTCCCTGATCTATGTATTTTGTGCTTTCTCTCACAGGGTTGTTTTAAGCCTAGAGAAAGATCAATATTAATCTATCAATTGCAGTACTTTCTTTTACTAAATAGTTTCCATCATGTTTTAATCTATATGATAATATTAGGTGTGATTACAGATAGAATTATTGTGAAACAACAGTGCACTAATTGGATTCTTGTGTCAATAATACGATACACATGGTTGTAAGACACAGAGCGCTGTGATGTTAGGTAGTTGAGGCCAAGTAGTATCACCTACAATTGCACGAGGGATGCCTCAAAAATTGACCCACATTTAGAAAAGTATTTCATGTTATTTTGGCTGCATCTTACTGACCAATTCTTTATATATTTGCATATGCCCATATGATATTTTGCATGAGAACAGTGTTGCTGAGATATGGTGAAAGAAGTTGAAGCGACACATTTGCCTTTTTCATCATCTTATAGCTTTTGCTTAACGAACGTAGGAAAATCTGGGGCCATTAAGAATCCGATTCTCTATTCATTATCTCTAAATTAATTTTCCATAATCAAGTTGCACCAATAAACTAGCTAGATCTGGATTTTGCTGATGGGGGCTTTGTTATCTTGTTTACATGGGGTATGGTGTCTCGATTGACATTGACATAAAGGAGATAATGAGACAATGGCATAAATGAGTTGGAGATAATGAGACATGCTTGATCTTGATACATATATTTGTAGCTAGCCATTCTAAGCTTCCCAAGCAATTTTTGCACTTCTTTTTGGATTCTTCTATCTGGGCCTTTCATCTTTTGATCACTAAAGATAAAAGATCAAGAAAAACCTCTAAACTGTTTGAGATTTGTCCTTCTTTATGGACACTTATCTGAGTACTTGAAAAGAACATGACAACCAAAGTAAGAAAACCAACTTTTGATTATGCTTAGGAATCAATAATTAGCCTAGGTATCGATGTGGGTAACTCCTTTACATTTTTTTTTCTTTTTGGGTTCTTCTCTTTTTAACCATGGATTAAAAGGCTGTGTTACTACCAAGGTACTAAATATATCTGAGAGGAGCAAGCCAATAAATATCGGTTACAGAAATTAGGTACCAGGTCCATTAAGTTGGGACGTTTTAATTTTCAGCCAGAGAAAAGTTAGTAGCAAAAATCACATCATGGCCCCTCAACTCTATTATTGTACATGGGTTCATGTCCAAATTTCCATGTTATCGTAAGAATCATTATGATGACAGAAGTCATGGGTCGGACCTGAAAAGTCTCTTCGAAGTTCCTGATACTGTTCAATCACTATCTGCCTAGACTTATAACTGTTTCCTTTCTCTGTTTTTTTTTTTTTTTTTCTTTTTAAAAAAGAAAGAAATTCCCGTAGCAAACAAATTTGCGATCAAACGAAGTTTGGCCGACTTAGTGACTAAGAGCATTTTTTTGGTTCTGAAATGACAGCTTCTACCAACTTGTAAGAGAGCTGCATTTTCTTGGCAAGAACAACAGTTTTCTTTGGCAACTGGCAAAAGGATTTTAACAAGTTTTAAGGCTTCTACTTTTGGAGAAACGTAGTTTATTGAAAAGAAAATTCGGTTTCCTGCCAAACAAACAGTTTCAATCACAGGCTGTTGTAGTCTTGGTAGAAGTTTTGGATGGATGGGATGGTGAGATCACCCACTTGTCTGTTTCTAAATTTTTCCAGACGAAGAAAATTCCACATTTTAGGGCTAGGGAGTGGGGGGTCCAATGCGATATAAATTTTTCTGATTGGCATGTTGGGTTATGCGCTATTCATGTGATCTTTTCAGAGAATCCCTTTTAACTCGCTGCAACATATTTTTTATGTTGACAGGCATTCTTACTGCACTGGAAATCTTATCTCGTAAACCTCGAATGTAAGAGCAGCCAGCTCGATGCTTCTGCTTGTTCATCCATCAGGCCTGTCGGCCTGGCTAATTCCAGATCGGGGAAGGGAGTTTCTCTCATAAAAATTATTGAAGGCTCAATTTGATGTTAATGGAGATTTAAAATTGAGACTAAATTATTAAAATCAATAGTACTGGACTAAAAGTAGAGTAAATTGTAAATTAATCCCTCTTGTTTAGAGAAACGAATTAACTAGATATCTTCCTTTTAAAAACAAATGATTTAATCTTTAATGTTTTAATTTTGTTAATAACTTAATTTTTTCATGGTTAAATTAGTGGTTTTTATTCTCCAATTGTCTTTCATTTAATTTAAAAAAAAACTCCATAACAAGTACATCAATTTTGTACTTTTTTGTTAATTGAATACATTAACTTTTTTTTTTCGTTTCAGTATATAACTTTTTGAAAATATCAATCAAGTTTTTATGTCTAATTTTTTGTATAGCGATGATGTGGTAGTTAACAAAAAAAAAAAAAACTAAATGACTATATTGTCTTACACACACATAGGGTTGCTTTGTTTTTTTAATTAATAATTAAACAATAATAACAATTTGAGAGGAGAAAAAAAAACAACATAGTTATTTAATCTTCTTTATTACTGCCCACACATCACTACACTGAAAATTGAACTGAAAAACTTGGTTGGTTTTTTTGAAAAAGTTGATAGATTGAAACAAAAAAATAAAAATGAATGCACACGATTGAAAAAAAATAAATTTAAAGCTGATGTATTTATTATGTAGTTTTCTTTCTTATTTTTGGTTGGCGTTAGAAAAAAAGTGAGTGAAGGAGAACAATAAGACATAAAAAAATGACAATTTAGGAAAAAGAAATTCATTAATTAAATGAAAGAGATTTCAGACATTTGATATGTTGAGGAACTTAATGAACGTTTTTTGAGTGATCCAACAATGTAACCTAATGCTTTCTAAGAGGTGAAAGTATTTTCTGAATATTCATGCAGAATTATCCGTTTGGTTGCTACAGAAGGGAATGGTAAGAATCTAAGAGCAGATTCTATCTCCAACCGTCAATATTATTATTAATAAGTTGACTTTTATTCTTCATGGCAACATTCTTAAAACTATTCACTCTCATGTTTTACTATTCATCCATACTTATTAGCACTGTTTGTAATGGTCTTTTTGTAATGATCTTAGGGATAAAAACCGCTGACCCCTGATTTTCCGGCGACGAAAGTTGAAAGGGCGAATCTCGTCCTTCGCCGTTTTTTTTTTGGGGCAGGCTGGGCTCCCAGGCCTAAGCTCGCATGGGCTTGGCGAGTCCAACCCACATCTTTATATATATATATATATGTCCTAAAAATGTTGTTAATTTTAATTTTTTTCATTATTATTCATCTTATAATTTTTTCATAAAAAAATATTATTTTAATTTTTGGCAATCTGGCATTAAATGCATGAATCAAACAATTTTTTTAAAAAACTTTGATTTGTTTTGGCTTAGTGCATAAATAAAACTAAGGATTTTTTTTTGTTTTTTTTATATATAATTTGGTTTGTTTGGATCTTTATAGTACAAAGTCTAGAAATAGTTCAATATCTCAATTTTAGATTAAATTTAATTCTTGATAATATAACATTTTGTTATTAATTTTTTTTAAAATATAATATGGACGAGTAAAAAATTTGTTATATTCATTAAATATTAGGTATGTTAAAAATAAAAAATAAAAAAATGAGGCACGGATAAAAAAAATTAAAAATTGAGTTATGCGATCTAGAATATATATTAGCTGGCAAAAAAAAAAAAAGGATAAAAATAAGAAATGTTTCTTTTCTAAAATTTCATCTATGCAATTTTGATAATATGTTGTGACCATAAATCATTTGAAATATAAAAAATATTTGCAAAATATCAGTCCAAACACTAAAGAAATAATTTAAGTGGTCGTCCTTGCAAGTGTCAATATCACTCCAAACATACAAATGCAATGAAAAATGCAGATAAATTTCATATTACTTTACGAGTAATTTTATTTTCGAAACAAATAGAAGAGAGAGACGAGAGAAAATAAAAACAAAAATATATTTTTGTGGCTATGTGCAAATTATAAAATCATTTTTGGTGAATCGCAATGCAACTTTTCCTATTTTTCTTATGGTAATTTTTTTTTTTTGTGAAACAATTATTAATTGTTACTGTTTGAGTAATATATATTTTTAAAAATATAAAAATAGATTGGAAATTATAAAATATTTTTAGTGGATCACACTGCAACATTTTTTTTTTTTTGTGATTATCTCTTTATTTATGGAATAAGCATTAATAGTTATTTTTAGAGTAATATAATTTTTTTTTAAAAATACAAAAGAGAGGGAAAGATAATTCACTCTCTTGGGGTTCACTGCTTTGTCAATCAATGGCGTTTATCTTTTTTAATTTTTTCCATTCATCTTTCGGTAGAAATTTATATTCTATTCTTTAATCCAAAAAAAGAAAAAGAAAAAGAAATTTATATTTTAAATGGTTCGAAGTGGCCTTGAACCAACTGTCTTGAAATAATATTGAACTTTTTTTATAGGGTTGGGATCATCTCCAATTAACACTAACTTTTGCAGTATTGTGATACTGATTTTTGTTTTCTTTTTTCCTGAAAATCTCATATTAGTTTATTGATTGATTACTTCAATTTTAAAAATTATAAATTTGAATTGTTTGACTGATAAAACGTAAAATATGGCTAATTAAAATTACTCACGAAGTTCATAAATTAAATTATAATATAGTAATAGATTTATTATTATGCATTAGATTTTTTAAATTAACATTTTTTATTACTTAAATTCCTTTTCTTTCTAATTTCATTATTGAGAAAAAAAAAACATTTTCGATGTATATATTTGGAGTTTTATTTAAAATCTTTCTATAACAAACCTTGAAACAATCTCAACCAAATTCATCACTGGCATTAGCAAAAACCATAAATTAATCAATAAAAATTTTAGTTTACTCCAATATTTTATATAGAATATATTTAGAATGCCCATGTTACAATTGTTTGCATTAAACATTTAATAATCATTAAGAGTTTTACTATCCCTAAAACCTCAGCAAACAGTTGCAGTCACAGGTAGCTTGGTGTTTCTGATGGACGGTAAGGGTACAATTCAGGCTAATGGAGTGAAGATCAAATGCAATATGAGTTTCTCTGGTTAGGATGTTGGGTCATGCACAATCCATGTGAATTTTCGAAACCTTTTGCAGTATAAATTTTATGACAATTTCTCTTTTTCATGATACGTTTTCCCAACTACGTACACACTTTCACAACTCACGACAAATTCTCCCAAATTGAGCAGAAAATTCGTAAGCAATTGTTTCTCAGTTAATTTTGCTGTTTCTTGCTCTCAGGTCTCACGAACAGACAATACAATAGAATCTAGGAGTGAGAGGACCTCGACATAAACCTGCGTTATAAGCAGTGTTAACAAAAATACTTAGTGTTATTTAATAATTAGGAATAAAGTGATGAAAATGAGAATGAAAAATAAAAGTTTTATTTTCATGTTATAATTGTTTTGTTAAAATGAACGAAGAGTGAAAATAAAAATAAAAATTACATACAATTTCATTTCCATTTAAGATGTGAGAATAAAAATAAGGAATGAAAATGAAAATTTTCTTCTAAAATAACAATATATTTTATTTATTAACTATTTTTACTATCAACATCGTCGCTACAACGACAACGACAACCACCACCATCATCACAACAACAACAACCATCACCATCACCACCACTATAAGCATCACAATCATCACCTTTATTATTTATATAACCATTATAATTTGATAAAATTATTTTTTAATCATTATTTTTATTTGTATAAAAAATCAAATATATATATAAAAAATTAAATTGCATTTCGATTTTTTATTGGTATTCCAAATACAGTATAATAATGCAAATGCTATTCCGATTTCTACATTCTCATTCTGAACCTTTCATTCCTAGTAACTAAACGACACCTTAACAATATGGGAATAAGTTAATCTTTTCATTAGTTTTCCATTAGAATAATTTTTTTTTCAAATTATCATTTCTTTAATATTTTATTTTTCTCAAAGATCAAAAAAAGAGTAATTTTAAAATAAAAATCACTAATTTAGCAGAAAACCAATGAAAGAATTAAGTTATCGATTAAATTAAAACATAAAAGATTAAATAATTAGTTTTTTAAAAAAAATGGACTAATTAATTCGTATCTCTAAACAAGAGGGAGTAGTTTATAATTTCCTCTATTTTGAAAGATAGTTTAGTATATGACCCTAATTTTCACGTAAATTCAGTTTTAAAAAAATTATAAAGTTAATTTCAATTTATGTCCCTAATTAATTTAATTATAATTATAAAAAATATAAAATTATTTGAAAATCAAACAAGTTTATATTTTATAAACATTCAAATTTGTTCAGTTATAAATAATCCTAAACGATCTGTTAGAAAAAAAAATACCGTAAAATTGTTAGCTAATACACGTACAAAGCATGTGTCAAGAAATTAGGTAAAGCTGAAAAATTACAGAAAACAAAATATATAAAAAATGGGTCGATTGCGAAGGTACCTGACTTTTCAAACATACGTATTTATGAAATCGGTCGATTACGAGGTAAGGCTATGTTAAGGTCTATCTACTTGTTGTGTTTGCCATCTCTGTAGTTTTGATAGACAGGGATACCACTTGTTGCATTCATAATCTGTTAGCTGTTTCATTCATCCCTTTCGCCATTGATAGTTATTCCAAAGGGAAGGACTTCTGACCAGATTGTTAAAAATCTTGCCGAAGTTATTGACGATGAGCCTGTGAGTGATGTGTTTTCAGTCATATTCATTATTCGGAGGACGCTTGAGCTGGGCACAAATAGAGGAGAGTTTCAATCTCAATTCCTCCATGAAGGTAAATCTACGTACTCATGTACAGTCGATTTTGTGTTGGCTTTAATTCCTCGATCTTGACGATCTACGTACTAAATGATGATGGAGGGATTTGAATGTTTTTATTTTTCTTTGATGTGAATCATTGTGATTTATTTAATTTGGACTAGCTTTCTTCTTGTGGCTTAGTTGTTGTTGTATATTCTATTTTGTAATGCTCTCTGCAATCCAAAGAGGATTTATGCGTAATGGTGGTGCTGAAATGGATCGATCATGTCTTTTACCTCTATAAGATGGCTGGGTTTGAACGAAATTAAAATTTTTACTTTCATCCCTCATTTGTTATAGCTTTGTTGTAGATGCACGAAAGTATTGCCTTCAATACTTATCAAGTCTCAGTGATTGTATGCTTTCTGCATCCAAAGGTTGCTTTGTTCTGTTTTCTTAAACCACTGAGCATGAGATGAAACCTAAAAAGACTTCGAGTCGCCAGATTAGGGAACAAAACTTGTGGTTTTTATGCTGCTTTGAGCTTAACAGGTTATGCTGGTTTTAAATTCCCCATTGGTGTGACTTTGAACAGGATGATGGGCATAACAGTGTCTTTTAGACACGACAAAGTGAAATATAAGTCAATTGTTAAATAACCTCTTGAAGATTTGTGTTAAGAGGAGGAAGGGGAAAGTTCCCAAGATGTTCATTTCCATTTATATATGCATCTTGATTTGTGATTTGGAAGGAATAGGTACACCAGGTAATGTGGAAAATGTTTGATCTGCAGATATTTATGGCGAGGGAAGAATACATTTGCCATTGCTTAGCACTAATTTCATCCAAGCATATATGACGAGGCTAAAGATAGTAAACTGCAGAAGCGATATGCTTGACCCGGCTTTGATATCCAGATGAATATATACCATTACGAGGGGATGGATCCATGGAGTTCAAAGAAAACTACTCTTAGTGGTAAGAACAACATCATAAATTTTGAATCCTGTATTTGTTGGCTCCCTACCTTTTCAGGTGAAATTTGTTGTTATGTCTTTATAAGCAAATGAGCAGACAGATGGACTGATCCTTATCAAGTGATATTCTTAAATGCAGATGTGCCAGAAGGAGGTTTTATCGTAAGAGAACACACAGCAATGAGTAACATGTTTAGCTGCTTTTATCGTAAGAGATCTTGATTCTGTTTCACTGATAAAACTAGTACAAGAAGATCAAAAGCAGATTTGTTGACTCCTTATCCTGGAAATCTTGATTCTGTTGTACAGTCAAAAGCTTTAGAAGTGGAAAATTTTCTGTGTTGGTAGTGATAAGCAAAAGGATGGCTGCTTCGATGTTTGAGGACGAACATAGTATTGGTACCACCTTAAGCAGAAGATCAAACCTAAAATTTCAACATCTGTACTAGCTTTGATACTTTATGGTTTGCCACTTTTGTTTACTATCTGTTAAAGTACAGGTTTTGATTATTTGTCTTGCTTACGAAACAATGGTGGCTGTGCCAAGATTATCGTTATCCAGAGTCGCAATTTTGGTAATTCGAAGTGTACTTCTGGGGTTTAAAGTACGATCAAACATTTCCAATTCATTAGATCAACTCAGTTGATTAGAGATAATTGATCAAAGATGCAATAAGTATTGTACTCCAACCGCTTAAAAAAAATTTTCATAGCTTCGCTACTGAATTAGACCAACTCAGCTAGTGATCGTTTTTTCCTAGCAAAGAGTTGATAGAGAATTTGATCTTATAGATCAGCTTCTTCAGCTATCATCTTTGTAATACTTGTGTCTCAGGCGCAGGAGCGGAAATGGAAATTTAGGATCGCAAGAGGGGAGGCGAATGATAAAAAATGATTTGTGGTAGTGCAAAACAAGTCAAACGGCAGGATATAATTAAAAACCTTCAAAATTTTAGGACCGAAAAGTAAAGTTTCCTTAAACAAGTCAAAAGTAAAGAATATAAGTAATTGCCTTCTCAAATGTGAAAAAGCCACTGAGAGTGTCACTCCCCATGACACCAACGGCAGAGAAATTGGGATCATGTTATTCTTCTAGGATTCTAAACTTTCAAATTTCGTATCCAATAAATCTAAAAATAAAATCTTAAATACTTAATAAAATATATTGTCGCATTGACTACGTAAGACTATAATTAAACATTATAGTTTATATGAATTTATTACTGCATTTAAAATACCTCACCCGCTACGTAACACGGGTAACAAAATAATGAGAAACTAAAATACAACAACCCATCTGCAGCATCATAACACGTAATGAGCTAGTAAGAAACTAAAATACAATACCCCACCGGCAGCGCAAAGCGGGTAAGAAGCTACAATACCTTCACCACAACATGGTAAAATCCCGGATAAACACCAACACAAAACTTAGTCGAAGAGGCTGAAACCCAAGTCTTCATCAGACTCTTCGGCTGGCTCTTCCTTCTTCTCCTCTTCCTTGGCAGCAGCTGGGGAATCACCAGAAGCAGCAACAGGAGCAACAGCAACAGCAAACTTGCTAGGATCCTGCATCAAATAGGAACATTAACAAATTTTACAGTATACCTAAGGCATAACCAGAATTTAAATCTGAACATGGAACGTGGTCCAGTAAATAAATCAACAAATTACAAACCTCTAGGTACTCTTTCACTTTCTCTGCCTGCGGATAAGAATACTCAGTTGCAACTGCAACAGACAGAACATTCTTGTAGGCATTGATGAACATGTGTGGTGCAGCAGCAAGGGATGGGTAAGAGATGGCCAAAGACAAGGAGGAAATCATGGAGACACCAGCAGCAAACTTCTCAGCAAGGTCATCCTCTGTAAGGTCAAGCACCTCAGAACTGAAGACTGAGCCATTGTCATAAACAGACACGACAACCAAACCATAAGAAAATGGCCTAACGCCAAGCTTTGCCAGTAGAGCAGCCTCGGAAGATCCAACCTTATCACCCTTCTTGATCAACTCGACCGGGGTGATGATTTCCACTGTACCCTTGTTAATCTTGGTTGGGATATTGAGCACCTGAAAAAAAAAAAAAAAAATTTAAAGAAGCAATTAGAATAAAAAAGCACCACCACCAAAAGTCTATTAAAATTGAAAAAATAAACAAGAAAACAGCAACATCGTAAGTTTGAGATTATAAACCTGGAAGAAAGAGGTCTGCGATGGGTCCAGCCCTGTGTTGCCAGGGGGGACAACAACATCAATTGGTGCAACCAGACCAACACGAGCAGGTGCTCCAACCTGTTTCGAGAAATCAGAGGTATGCATTTGAAAAATTAGTGACAAACCAGCTTATAGTAAATATCCTAAACTACCAGACAAAACAATGTATTTCTTTTCCCAACTCAAGCACAACTATACTCCACATTTTGTTTCTCATCTCTACTTATCTACAAAGACACAGTCAATAATTATGCATTTGATTCCCATCGGGACTTGCTTCGGACAAATCAACGCAGGCATAATTATAAAGTTTATCTTTCCAGTCAAATTGCTAAAACATCTTTAAATCTCCACTCACCCTACACCAAAACTGAATCTACACTCAAATTGTTTAAGTATAATTTTAAACTCCTAACTATAGGTTGATATAAACCAAAGCAACGCTTAACTAAAATTTATTAACAGTACACCGCAACAAAAATAGCATACATTTCTCTGATGGTGAGGATAGTGAGATTACAAACAAAACAAGAACAAAATTAATGAAATTCTAACACTAACAAACTAAATTAACAATCATCAAAAAACGGAAAGGAATGAGAATTAGAATTAGCTCACAGCACCTTGTACGAAGAAACCTCATCACGCACTTCCTTGATATCACCTTTGGTGAAAATGAATCCAACATTTCCCTATTAAGAAAAAAAAGGATAAAATTAACCAAAACAAAATCCACCAATTCAAACACAACTAAAGTAGAACCAAAGTCTATACCATTATATACCTGAAGGAGAGGGAGAAGATTAAGGATATCTTTGTTTCCAGTTTTTTCAGAATGGACCCTAATAGTTCTCTTCATCATGGTATTCTTGCCCATGAGCACCACAGACTCACCTCTAAGACCCCTCCTAATATTCTGCAGCTGGTTAGACCCAACGTTGTCAGCTGCTACAATCAAGATCTTGCTGTACTCACCCAGCAATTCGGACAGCTTAGCATCGTATGCGATTTTCTTATCAACTTTTGATCGTTTGCTCACCATTTTTTGACTAGTTTGGTTTCTAGAACTAAAAGTAAGGTAAAGATCACAGCAAAACTGAGGACCAAGACACAAAGTTAGAGTTCTGTCAAGGTGAACAGCAAGAGCTCCGCTGTCTCTTTAACCTGGGTTATTTGTTCGAGAGTGTAGACAGAGATGAAACCCTAAGACAGATGGTAGGCTTGTTGAAGACGGAATGTGCTTTTATGCTGGGTTTTCTAGAAGATACGGATCCAACGGTTAGAGCGGTTGACATTTGTTCTAAAATTGTTATCTATTGGCTGTGGCTTTTCTCACCCTGCCAGTTGCTTTTTCGTACTCTTTGGGCTTGTTTGGTGCCGTGGGCTTCTGAGTCTAGTTACCATACCAGCCTTTTAAGGAAACTCTATTTGTGATGGTTCATATTTGTTTTTGTTCTAATAGCTGGTTCTTCTTCGTGATTGTTGGGCCCTTGAATAGAAATATTTTAAAGCACTGCGTGTAGTTACTTTTGAGAATAAATTATAAATTAACAGGTCTCTCTTTTTTTTTTTTTCAAAACCAAATTATTTAGTCACTGCTAGATTTTTTTCCCCTGCTATACAGTGATTTGATAAAATATATAAAATAATCATTTCAGTTTAATAATTTGCTTTGTGATGTGAATTTATAAAAATATATTGATTAAAATATATGAATCAATAGTGAAAAAAAATATTTATAATTTTTTTAAAAATTTATATTTAACTATTTTATATTTTCATTTTTTATAATTTTTTCCTTTACAAAAAAGATTTATCCTTATTAATCCATTGATTATTAACTAAAAATAAAATTAAATAATTTTTTAGAAAACTTTAGTATTTCATAAGATTGTGTCGAACAACAAAAATAACAATTATTAAAAAGTTTTCATAGCATTCAACAAATTTTTTTTTATTTAATGTTGATGAGAATATTGATTTTTGAAAAAAATAAATTTAATTTTTATATATTTATTTATAAAAGAATAAATAATATTAAAATAAATCAAAACTGATAATAAACTAATTTTAAATTAATTGTGTGAGAATTTTAAAAAATAACAAATCAAAATAGTAAATTTGCAATAATAAAAAATAATTAACAAAATTACTAAAACAAAATAATACCAAATAACAATACAATTAAAGTTTGAAATTAAAAAAAAAAAATATATATATATATAAAATTAAGGACCATATAATTTTAAATTAATCAGATGAGAATTTTAAAAAAATAACAATTTAAAGCAATAAATTTTAAATAATAAAAATAATTAAAAAAATACTAAAACAAAATGGGATCAAAATCAAAATACAATTAAAGTTTGAAATTCAAAAAAAAATATAAAAATTAAGGACCAAAGTGTAACAAAAATGATATAAATAATGAAAGAAATAGTGATTTGTGAATATTTGAATAGTAAAATATTATTTAGCTTTAGTGTTTTTGATAATTAATATATATACATATATATATATATATAACCACCAATGAAGTGACAGAGGAATTTATAACCATTAACTAATCTTGTTATTATTTTTGGGAAGGGTTAAGTGGGGGATATTAGCTACTTACCAGGAAGCTACACCACCTTCAGTCAGTTTCTTTTTTCTTGTTCTTTTCATTTTTTCTTTCAGTCTAGAAAATTACAAAAAGAAAATGTGAAGTTCACAGAGTCACACGTGTAAACTTAGTTAGCAAGACAAAAAAAAATATATACGGAAAAAAAAAATAAGGCCGGCACCTTTGATGTCTGCCAGGCCTTGGCTGGGTTCAACCCAGAAACAGACCTAAAAAAAATGAAAAAAGGACAACCAGAAAAAAAAATATTCATTGAACAGTGAAAAGGAACACTAAAAGTCCCTTATGTGTTAAGAGTATTTTTTCCTTTTCATTTTTTCTTTCTTTCTTTGTTCCAGTCTAGAAAATTAAGAAAAGAAAATGTAAAGTTCACAAAGTCACACGTGAAAACTTCGTTAGCAACACAAAAAAAGTACACACCAAAATAAAAAAAAAAAAAAAAAAAATATATATATATATATATATATATATATATATATATATATAAGGCCGGCGCCTCTGCGGCCTGCCAGGCCTTGTCTGGGTTCAACCCAGAAACAAACCAGAAAAAACACTGTTCATTAAACAGTGAATGAAACAGTGAATGAAACAGTGAAGGTAATAGTAATGTTATTTTTAAAATGAGACTATTCATAATTTTATGAGGCGAAAAAATAAAAAAACAAAAAGCAAGGCTTAGGATCTTTGATTTGCTTTAATTTTTTATATTTCAAAAGCAATAGGAATTCTTATATCAGTTGGACATCAATCAAAATTAAATTTTCTATGAAAAAACACCTTCTACATTAGCCTGATTCAATCAAAGAAATATACCTAAAATTTTCCTATATGCTAATTCAAAATTTGAACTTGAAAAATTATGGACGAGAACAAACTTCTCTAATCACCTTCTATTCTCGAAGTTTCTTTTTTTCACGTTCAATTTGAAGATCTAAGAGAGATTTATAAAGAAATAATATAAGTTGCCGTCCTTCCAAATGTCAACATCGCTCCAAACACACAAATGCAATGAACAAATGCAGACACGTTTCAAATTACTATATGAAGAATTACAAAAGCAGATGCAATTCATATTACTTTATGAGTAATTGTTAAGGCTTAACACACATCTCAGAAACAAATACAAGAGTGAAGGGGGCGAAAATAAAAATAAAAAAATTATTTTTGGGGCTGTGTACAAATTATAAAAACCATTTTTATAAGATCAAAATGCAACATTTGCTATTTTTCTTGAGATTATTTTGTTCTTTATAAAATAAGTATTAATATTTACTCTTAGAGCACTATAAAATTTTTAAAAATACACAAATGTATGGAAATTATAAACCATTTTTTAGTAAATCACAATTTTTTTTTAAATTTTTCTAGTGATTTTCTCATTTTACAATAAGTATTAATAGTTATTTTAGAGTAATGTAAAATTTCTTTAAAATACAAAAGACGGGGGAACAAAATTCACTCCCTTGAGGCTTATGGACTTAGCCAAACAATGACCTTTTTTTTGAAAAAAAAATCCATTGATCTACCGGTAAAAGTCTATATTCTATTCTTTCATCCAGAAAATAAAAAATATATAGGTTGTCGCGTTGACGTTTTCGTAGGTCATTCTTGAAATAATTTTGAACCATCTTTATAGGTAAAAAAAAATTCATCAAAATATTATATTGGCTTATTGATTGATTACTTCAATTATAAAAAATCATAAAATTTGAATTATTTGATTGATAAAATATAATTATATGATAGTAAAAATTTATTACTATGCATTGGATTTTTTATATTCATATTTTTATTTCTAAAATTCATTTTCTTTCTACTTTTATTATTCAGAAAAACCATTAATTATGGAAGAAAACTTGTCAAAACCAGCGAAAATTTTGTTCACTCCAATATTTATTTTAGAATGCTCATAAATTGAGCACCTGAAAAAGAAATTAAAAAAGCATCCATTAGAATAAAAAAACACAAACACCAAAAATCTATTACAGTTGAAAAAATGAACAAGAAAGCAGAAACATCACAAGTTTGAAAATACAAACCTGAGATCTGCGATGGGTACAGCCCTGTGTTGCCAGGGGACAACATCATCAATTGGTGCCAACCAGAGCAGCACCAGCAGGAGCTACAACCTGTTTGGAGAAATCAGGTTTGAGAAATCAGAGGAATGCATATGAAAAATTAGTGACAAACCAGCTTATAATAAATTTCTTCAACACAGGCACGATTATAAAGTGTTTCTTTCCGGTCAAATTGCTAAAACATCTTTAAATCTACACTCAAACTGAACCAAAACTGGTAGCAAATTTACAAAGTATAATTTGAACATCCTAACAACGTTGCCATTAGCCTACGCAATGCCTAACTAAAATTTATTAACAGTACAACGCAACAAAAATAACATATATTTCTGTTTGATAGTCAGATTAAAAACAAACTAGACCAAAATTAATCACATTCTAAGACTAACAGGAAAGGAATTAGAATTAGCTCACAGCACCTTGTACTCAGCAACCTCCTCATTCACTTCCTTGAGATCCCCAATGGGGAAAATCAACCCAGCATTTCCCTATTCAAGAAAACGGTAAACATTAACCAAAATAAAACCCACAAATTCAAGCAGAAGTAGAGTAGAACGAAAATCTATATCATTATATACCTGAAGGAGAGGGAGGAGGTTAAGGAAAGCTTTGTTTCCAGTTTTTTCAGAATGGATCCTAACAGATCTCTTCATCGTAGTATTTTTTGCCATAAGAACCACAGAGTCACCGCTTACACCGTTCCTGATATTCTGCAGCTGGCTGCAATCAAGATCTGGTTGTGCTCATCCAGATAAAACCAAAAGGAAGGTAAAGATTTAAGAAAAACTGAGGTCCAAGATACGAAACTAGAGATCTGTCAAGGCCGACCGCAGCGCCGCTATCTCCTTAACCTCTGAGGCATTCGAGAGCGTAGAGAGAGAGGAAAAACCCTAACGCAGATTTGAGGCTTGTCAGAGATAGTAGCTTTTATAGTATATCTAAATCGGACGGTTGGTGTTTGTCCTTTAGAATGTTATCAAATCTAATGGCTGTGACTTTTCTTACTCTTTGGGCTTGCTTGGGGCCGTGGGCTCCGGAGTCGAGTTACTTGATATTTGTTCTTTACAATGGAATCTAATGGCTGGTTGTTCTTCGTACTTGTTGGGCTTTAGAGATTTGCAGTGAAGTGGATTGTTTCGCTGTTTTTGAATTCCTTTTATTTTATGATTTTTTAAAAAATAAATAAAATAAAATTTAGCTTAGTCCAATATTTTATATATATATTTTTTAATAAATTCGATACCTTTTGCAATATAAATTTTATGACAATCTCTTTTTTATAATATGTTGCCCCCAACTACATACCTTCACAAGTCATTTTACTAAACAATTGTTCCTTAGTGGAAAATTGTTTCTTGATTGATTTTGGCACTCTCTTGCAAACCTAGACATAAACTCACGTTATAACCGAAAAACTCATAGTTTAGTGATAATATTCTCTTACAAGAGATTATAAAAACAGGACGAAAACCTTAATTGCAAAGAAAAGGATGCAATATAGTGACATAATTTTAGATTTGATTTTTTTTGTTAAATAACAATTGTTGTTTAATAATATATATATTACAATAAATTGATAAACAATAAAAATAATAGATTTATTGTCACGCTTTGCATTTAACTTATTTAAAATATAAGTATACAATTTTCTATTTGTTTTTCATAAGCCATTAATTTTTATTTTTATTTTTACTATTTCTAATATATTCCCAGTGGTTATTCTGTTTATTAAGATCTTGAAAGATTATTCTATTTCTATTTCATACTAATTTATTTAATTGATAAAAAGGGGGATGGTGACAGATATCTTATTAAAAAATGATAATTAAATAAGTTTTTATCAGACTCAATACAAATCACTATTGCAAAAATTAGTTTACTCCAATATTTTAAATTGGATTTTAATCTTCTATCATAAAAAAATAAAAAATAAAAAAAATCAGCAGTGTTTGATGGAATGGTAAGAGCACTAATTTTCACATTAATAAAATTCCGCATAAATTTTATGGCCATTCTTCTTTTTCCATGGTGTGTAACCCCAACTATACAGTGCCACGACAACTTCTCCTAATTTACACCATCAGACAGTACAATAGAATGTAGTGCTCGTCTAGTTTGAAGGGTGATAATTTAGTTCTAATCCTTTTATGTCCAAGAAATTGATTAATTAGTCACTCTTGTTTCAAAAATTAACTATTTAGTCTTTTTATTGGGGTTGTTCATACTTAATTTTATACTATTTAATTCCATAAAAATATTCTTTTCTTCTATTTATTTTCATTTTATTATTTCTTAAACAATAAAATAATACTAAATGGACAAAATGACTAAATAATTAATTTTTGAAACAAGAAGGTCTAATTGATTAATTTATTAAAACTAGAGGGACTAATCTGTGGATCGTACAAACTACAAAGTATTTCCTTCTGCTGGGAGAGATGGACCCTAGCCCAACTTCTGGGCCTTATTAAGCCCATTTCAAAACCCAGCTCAAATTCAGCCCCTTGCCAATTCCAAACAAGCTTGAACGGGTTAATATTTCCTCGGTCGGGACCCGTACAAACACACTAGACAAACCTCACATGCCTTGGGTGGTTAAGATTAAAAGATTTAATCTATGCATAACAAAAATTTTAAACAAAAATTTAAAGTTCATCTTAATAAAATTAAAAATGAGCACATACATTTAATTCAATGAAACACCACAAATGAAAAACACTGCAAATGGAAAATTTGTATTAAATAAAATTTATAATGAAAAATAAAGAAAAAGAGATAGAAAAAGTGTGCATGCTATTAAGAAAATATGAGCAATAAACATATAGACAAACACATATAGTGACCAATTTATATTATAAATGAATTATACTGACATTAAATTATGAATAGTACTTGCAGAATTATTTATTTTATATTTAATCAAATACTAATTTATCTATCTTTTATATTATCAATGAAAAAAATAAAAAACTAGAATTAAGATAAACCCTAAAAGATCTAGAAAAAAAAATACAAATTTCTAAAACTTCTTTCTGATAATATTTGGTTTAATTAATTGTAATCTTTTTACGATTTTAGATAAATAAAAAAATTAATGGAGTAAAAAATTTAAGTAATTCGGGTCATTGAATTGCTTGGTCGGGTAAAAAAAATATTTGATTAATTTGAATAATTATTCAAAACAACAAATTTTCGCTCGAATTACTCAAATGTTTGCTCCTCTCTTATTACATTCGAATTAGAAAATCTGCACATTGATTAATTTTACGAGACACATGACCGATGTCACACAGCCATACTGTTTGAAATCATCAAGAATGGTAACTAAATTGATGATGACAAGAGGAGACAGTGTCCAAAAACATCTAATTAATTGCTTCTATAGAATATAATTCCACAACTAAACAAATGCATTGTAAAGGACTTTGCTTAACAGCTCAAAGTTATGCCACCATGCATATTAGTAGCAAAACTAATATATCTAGAAATGCCCTTAATCAAATTAACTCTTAGGTTTCCTAGATTTTTTTCTTCATATATCTCTTATCTTTTTTTCTTCTTTTTGCACTTAAAACAATTAATGGCTCTTAAATTTTGAGTAGCAAAGATAAATAAATTATTAAAGACAAAAGAATTAACATGGTTCGGCTATATTGATCTATTCCACGAATACAAAAATTACATAAAAATACATATCGTATGATCCATATTTATAATAGATTATACATTAAGAAAGAAAAATAAATCAAATATATTATTATAAAATAAATAAAAAAATCTTTTAAATTGCTCTTATCAATTTCTTGAATTGCTCTAACGATTCCCCTGATTTATTATGCATTTTAATAAATCACCAGAGACTCTGTAATTTTAGAAAGTGAATATATTTTTCAATAACGGTCACTTTCATTGTCACCCTAGAAATCATGGACATTTTTCAATATGAGTTATTTATTCTAAGAATTGGAAAAAGTATTGGAGATTATGAATTCAGTTCTAAAATACACAGGAATTCTTTACGTTCTAAAATACACAGGAATTCTTTACGTTGACAGGAATTCTTACTGCCCTAAAAATCTTCTTTAATACGTCTGTTCATGTATGTAATCTCTTGCGTCCGTAAGTTTATGTGCCGCCTAAGGTAAGTCCCTAATGCAGATCTCCCTAGCACCTTCTCAAGAAGCCAGAATTTCAAGAGCTTTTATACCAACCTAGCAAGAATTATCTTTGAATCACGTAGCCTGCAGTCTCCTATTCGAGCCTCACCAGGTTTGCTTAAAGATGACCCCATCCACATTCCGTTTTGGCCACAGGTAGCAGGGAGGTAGACTCCAAACGAACAGGTGTCTGTTCTCCAAGGCAAGTGTGATCCATGGTTACATTAGGAAGAGAGTCTCCAGCAGGCTTGAGCTCCCTGAAAAACAACAGTACGGTTCCAAGGCCAATTGTTGAAAACTTGTGTGTATTATTGAACCTCATCTTTGGATATTATTGAAAAGTGCACGTCAACTTGCAGGGATAGAGAAGGTTCTTTGCCAAAATGGCATTCTGATCAGGCTTTGTCAAATTCACGAGCCACTGAAGCAGCAAATTTTGAGTAAGATTGCCAAAAAAACTGACGTCAATTGACTCTTTTGTGCCTGTAAATTTAATCTGCATCCTTGTGAGCACTTGTAAAATTATGTTCATAATAATCAAATTTTCTGAGTGTCTCTTCAAAAGTCTTTAGCTAAACGAGTTTCTTTGGTACCTTGTGTCCAACTAGTTGGTTTATGTTGATAATCTAGAATACGTATTTTTGTTTTGCCAGGAGCATTGCCTTTTGCTGACACTGTGATCCTTCACTACCTTTTGCAAAAGTTCTACCTTCTTTTAGGTATGTAATTTTTTTTTTTTAAATTTCTCTCCATAGGTCATGTATTAGAAAATCAGATTTTCTGATATTATCTTCTTCTTTGAGGATGGTGATGATGATGTATTTGGAGGCCTTTCCTGGTATGAATTCAATCCAACACTTGAGTTTGTCCCTTGAAAAGCTAACAATAATAGGATGGTATGAACTGAAGAGTCTACCGCATCAACTTCAACACCTCACTTCCCTTAAGATATTGAAGATAAGGAGTTTCGGCGAAGAGGAATTTGAGGCAACACTCCCAGATTGGTTGGGAAACCTTTCTTCTCTTCAATGGCTTTCTATTAAACGGTGTTCAAATGTGAAGTATCTACCAAGTTCAACAGCCATACAACGCTTCTCCAAATTGACAATTCTGATAATTAGCGGAACTCCACTTCTTAGGCAAAATTGCTTCAAGGACAGTGGCTCTAGGATTTCTCATATCCCATATATTTATTTACGGTTAAGTTAGAATTTCTCAAATCTATCTGTCTGTCTCCAATTATGTTTATTTCTTTATGTTAAATTTAATTGCCTTCTTTCTTTCTTGAGTTCTATTGTTAAGAGCAACACTGCAACTGACCTGATGTTTGACCCAATATAACACGAAAAGGAATGCACAACAATATAGAAGTTGGAAAACTGACTGTCCTGCTCACTAGAGGTATGTATTTGTGATCTTCTCTTTGTGCTTATGATTACTTCTTTTATGTTTCAGTTTATTTTCTTACCAGCTTTAATTTCTTTTTTCATTTTGAATCAATCATAGGCAAGGAAGGAGTTAACTGCAGTAAGTTTTGTTGTCCCCTGTGGACTCTAATTTCTTACTCTTGAGTTTTGGTTCAATGTCAATCACTTCATTTCTTAAAAGTTTTCGACCTGCGTTCCTTTGACATTTCCTCAGAAAAAACATGTCCCAGTAGTTTGTTTTAACTATAACAATTCATATTTAGCTATGTCTTGCCATGGTTTTAATTCCCTCTCCTTTTCTTGGCTTCTGTTTCTTTTGCAGGAATCGACAGTCTGGCTTGATCTTGAACAATGGTTAAGAAACAGTGCAGTCTCCATGTTCACTTAATTTCAATAAGCAAACTGAATCTCCTGCTCACTTAAGAAATAGTGCAGTCTGGTATTTATAATCTCTCTTCCTTCCCTTCTGTCTCATTGTTGTTCCTATTCCTTTTCTTTTTCTTAGCTTCTGTTTCCTATATTATTAGACTGGGCAAGTATCTTGAAGGCATTGCGCTGTTTATACTAACTTTGTGAGGAAACACTTCAATGATATAAACTAATTGTCTTCAGTATCTTGAAGACTTCTATTTACTTTCGTTTCAATTCAGTAGCAAGACTTGCCTTGCTAAGCATATATGCTCATATACAAAGACACTAAAATCAAGACAAAACAAGAAAGAAAACAACTGTAAGTACGTGTCATATGCTACAAGAGCACCATATGACACGACAGTGTGGATGAACAGACACGAAGGCAAACTTAAGGAATACGTGTGATCATATGCTATAAGGGCAACATGTTACGCGGCAACACACTTGTTGTATAAAAGCAGATGCAAACTGATCGAACTTGGCCTTCAACCGAGATAACATACACAGAAATGGAGTTCAACAAGAAAGTTACTTTGCTATTGATGGTGGTCTTAGTAACCATCGCCATGGTTGAACATTCTACCTCTGCTGCTCGCCGGATTGTGCTTCCTTTTGGTCCCGTTGATGAGGTGATTATTGATACCCAAATTCCAGTCTCAAACATGAGGGTGCAAGATGAATTTAATAAGGGTGTCCGCTATGTTCGTTCTAGCTCCGCATGTTTGCCTGCTGCTGGGCTATGCTATGCAGACGCGCATTGTTGTTCGGGAGTATGTGTAAGAGTAGGGGCACCAGTTCCAGTTGGGTTCTGCAAGTGAAATTGATGTCAAGCATGCATGGTATGGTTCTACTTATAAGTTTGTTTGTTTTTTTTGGATGTAGTTTGTCAAGTGTTATTTCTCATGAAATGTGTTTGTATCAATAAGGTATGAGAAGAATCATTGTATGTTTCTATGTTCTATGTAATAAAGTGAGTTGATGAAGAAATGATGTGGTTAATTTGCTATGTTATTTTTGGATTTATTCAGACATTTTCATATTAGAGATAAGATAAATCATGTGTAGAGTTGAAGCGATAAGATTCAATTTCTTCTAATAAATGTGATTTTAATAAAATTCGATCTCTTCAATTTCTTTCAATAAGTGCGATTCTAATGAATATTGATAAAAAAATTCGCTTTGGGACTAATCCGATTACCATTGGATTAATAACTTGTTGGTAATTTGTTATATTATTAACAAAGGTCAATAGATTTTGTTTTAAATCTAGTTGTGAGGGATTAACACAAATTTTCTTTTCTTTTTCAACAAGTTCGATTTTAAAATTTAAATCTTGAATATTGAAAAAATTAAATTTTGAATATTGAAAAAAAAAATTTCAATAAATATAATTTTAAAA